AGCGTAAACGCAGGTACCAGCGCGCTGCTTAAATTTGTGCTCCAGAATGTAACCTGGGTAATGCAGATACGCCGTGTCCGAAGGACATCTAATTTGGGTCTCCGTGAGGAAGAGCATGTGAGGCCTTTCAGTCTCAAGATGGTGGTGGACAGATGCGAGATTGGAGTGCAGACCTCGGATGTTCGACCAAACGTCGAAATTCGACGTAAAACGATGGTCGATGAAACGGGTAATCTCATCACGAGGTTAAGGTGGAGGTGGGCGGGACGTTTGCCTAGACGAGAAGACGGATGATGGACCAAAGGAGTCATAGAATGGTGACCAAGAGGCGCAAAAGTCCAGTGGGCAGACCACCAGCCCGATATGGTGTGACTATATCGTCAAGTATGCGGGATCGCACTGGATGCGAATGGCGCAGTATCGAAAATATTGGCGCAATAAAGAAAAGACCTATGCCCAGCAGTGGGTTGATGTTGGCTGACGATGACGATGACCCTCAAATATCTCGAAAACGATACCCAACTCGCCATTATTCGAAAAATCGTGCCCGCCATCTTGGATTTAAAAATAAATGCCGTCTTCGTAATGATTACCACCAAAAATGTATTTTTGAAAATTCTTGTCCACCATCTTGGATTTAGAAATTAATGCTATATTCGCATTATACACTCTCAAATAACTCCAAAACGACGCCTATAATTATTGATTTTATTTGAAAAAGGTCGTATACGCCATCTTGTATTAAGAAATAATACCACATTCGAATAGATAATGAGTAAAAAAGCAAGCAGCTCGATTTTAGTTGGCGTATGTCGTAAATGTCGGCCATTTTGCTTTTAAAAAATTTAAGCAAATTTAATTTCATTACTTAAAACTCCAAACAAAATAAAATAATTTGACTAACCTTTCTTCTGTATGCGGACACTGATAAAATTTAAACTTTTTATCTATGCGAGATGATGATACGCACTCTCTAATAGCACAAACATCTAGTGTATGTACTACTTTTTAACCGACTTCAAAAAAGGAGGAGGTTCTCAATTCGACTGTATGGTCTTTTTTTGTATGTATGTTACGCGAGAACTCCGGTATTTGTGAACCGATTTTCATGATTCCTTTTTTGTTGGAAAGGGGGTACTTCCATAGTGGTCCCATTTCATTTTGAAGAAAACCATCCACCTCGAAGGGTGGCTGTTCACGCATGAAGATTCATTTTTATAAATAGCGCCTAACTTTAATTTAGGAGCAATTACTTTAATGGTTGATTTTGCTATTTCTCCAATTCAAGGAGTTTTTCTCTCAATATGCTTTGAGTAGTGAGAACCGATTTTTATTATCTCCAGTGTCAAGTCCTGTATAGTGGCGAATTAGGGGATATTTCAATAAAACTTAGCAAATAGACGTAATTCCACGTACTTTTGAGGTCGGTTTTTTAGTACTCTGTACTGAGATTATCACTTATCAAATCACTACAACACTCACACGAAATATTTAACGTAAATGCCGCAACCCTGAATGTGTGTTATTTCTCACACACCCCACACGATGATGGCTGCGTCTAGATGTGTCCGTTGGCTGACTATAGGAATTGGTTACACTGTGCTATGCTATCACCCTGTTACAATTCCCGTAGCGAGGACTAATATATAGACAAAATAGTTTGTGTTTAGTTTTTAGAGCTAGCAAGAGTTTGGATAGTGTGATAAGCATTTTTTATGTAAGTGCATGTTGACCATGTTGACACACACTATTTATTGTTTATTTTGTTTAATACTCGTGATTAATTCCTCTGAAACTATAGGTGGAATCTGAACTATAGGCTGTAAGTTTCTATTTTGAAGCAGAGAAGAAGGAAGAGAGAAGAAGGTTTTCCAAAAATAAATAAATATATAAATAAATAGTCTCATCGACACACCTTGCCGGTTGCATGGGGTTGGAGAACGGCTCGCCTTATGTGTTGGTATCCGTTAGTACGTGGGAGCCATGTGACGTACAAGCAGAGTTCTGGGGCCTTAGTGTAAAATTTGAAAAATGTAAACTTAACTATCGCGTTTGTGTTAAGGTTTTCATTCAAACCTTATAAAGATATAATTGAGATCTAAATAAAAATGGACCTACTTCAAATTATGACAAATTTACACTCAGACCTCTGTACGTTCTCATGTTAGGTGCGATTTCTCAATCTTGGTGGGGTAGTATTATGCGACGCCTTGTATTATGCGATTTGTTGCCAATTGTTTCGAGTTACGTGACGACACAAACATATCGTAATAGTGATATGATAGTTTAATTAATTATTAATAATTCCTAACTTTAGCTCTTATAAATAAATACCACTAAGAAAGTACCTATAGAAGAAAAGATTATTAAGATCAGAAGAATAACATAGTAAATTAATTCAAACAAACACGATAAATAGCAAAAGGTAATCTATCACAAACTGAAATTCGAGTTTTTTCCAAATTTCATTAGTCCGAAAACGGTTTGACTTTTTTTTATTAGTGTGATGACGGTTTTGGTATAAATTTGCAACACAGAAATGTCTTACAGCAGAAGTATCGTTTGTCTGAAAACCTACTATTAGAATAATTATTACGTACGTATTCATACGTATACTTTAGGCAGAAATTTGTTTGGTCTAATCATGTTTGTTATACTGTCTGTTTTCCATATAAGTTAGATTGCTGAAAATTCGTTTCGACAAAATTACTATTCTTAGATAAAATTGTACCGTCATACAATTTAGCCATACAGCTCCAAAATTCTGGACTGTACTTTGCTGGTGCACAGCAAGTCCACTTACGTAGTTTTCGTCATGCCATTATGCTATGTTTTTGCTATCATCTGAAATATAACTTAAAAACAATGGTCTTGAGTATTTAATAAACAACATATAACTGAATCGAGGCGAGTACCAGAGCCGGTTTTTTGTGTGTTTGCGTTACCTAGACGGTACGACTCCCTCCCGTTACGAAGCGAGCGTGACGCGGAAGCGACCGGCGAGTGCCAGAGCCAAATTTGTTTGCATTACCTAGACGGTACGATCCCCTCCTGTAGGTTTAGGTTAGGTTAGTATATGAAAAAGCCACACGAAGCAAGCGAGCGTGCCGTGGCAGCGGCCGGCGAGTGTCAGAGCCGAATTGCATTACCTAGACGATACGACCCCCTCTTGTAGGTTTAGGTTAAGGTTAGTATATGAAAAGGCAGCACGATCCGAACGAGCAAAGCGAGTTGATCATCAAATGAGATCAAATTAACTTGCATCGCGGTTACCATATTTTCTAAAGATGCGATGTGCTTTAACTTGACGAGTTGTATTGTGCGACACATTCTAATACTTTTAGAACCTGTAATAAGAAATAATGTAACAAAAATGTATCATAATCTCAAAATATTCAATTCGATACATTGGTTTACATACAAACGGTTTGTTGGGGAAATAAAAATCGGGAAAAGAATACCTTGTCAATATGTCAAAATAGTGAAACATTAAATGGTATAATGAAAAAAACCGTAACGTGTTTTCGGACAAATGAAACAAAATCTACTCAAAAAAAGTCTAAAGGTTTTCGGAGGAACAAAATTCTGTAAATCATGTTTCTAGCTTGTGATAGGTAACCATAGCAAAAACATTATAAAAAATATTTACTATCAATAAAATTTCAGGCGTTTCGTGACTTTAGGTTTTCGCGATTGTTATACATAGGAAATGAAACTATTTTTCCGGATTTAAATCGCGTATATTTGTTTTTTTCAAACAAACCGACGTTTCGGGCCCTTTACAGGTCCCATGATCCGGTTGACTGATTTCAGGCGTTATGAATTAAAAAAGCTTTAGACACATGTCGCTGAAGACCCACGGCATGAGGAGTTCGTTTTTCTTTGTGAGGATACTATGCACGGTTAACTATTTTTTAAAACAATTTCTGGGGCTACTAACGCAAAATGGCTGAGAAAAAAAATTAAGACCATTTTAAGGAAATATTCGATTTTCGTAACTTAGGCTTACATTTTGGAAAAGCGACAAAGTTTATTATATAGCTTTTTAAATTCCTTTCAACATCGTGTTAATAACTATTTAATAGTATTATTATTTTTTTGAGTGTTAATCATTTTTGAAATTTCAAACAATAAATATCGAAGAACTTGGAAGTGAGTTTTCGGTCTGCATTTATAGTCTGTCTTTTTTGAAGACTGTAAAATGGCAGTTCATTGCGCAAAAGTGTTTCCCGCTTGTGAGCAGCTAGTGATTGCAGTCCATAAATATTCTATCGACTCTCGACTGAATATTGGTCACGCTTATGATATTAATAGCCGAGCTTGTTTCATTTGAATCAACCTCGACCCATTATTCATCCAATTACTGAGCAAAAGTTCATTAAAATTGTCAGTTTTTGTAAGTTCATACACTGTATTTAGTAGTAGGTTTATGAAAAATACAAAGAGGAGACATATTTTCAAGTTTTTAGTTTAATAAAATCCTTCAAAAAAGACAGATTATTAATATAATATTAAAACACGCTACTGTTCGACTGTACGTTAATTCAAAAATGTATCCTTTCACTTGATATTACTTAGTTTGCTATAGGAAAGACATCAACGAAATCGCATCGCTGTCTCCGTGTTCGTTAATATTATTTTCCATTTTAGTTCCTAAAAATCAAAATATATTAAAAATAACTGATAACCAAAAAATAGGCCAGTCAAAAGTTATCTTCGTAAAAACCTACCTTATTTTAAGTTTAATAACTTACAAATAGGCAAGAGTTGAGACAATTTGCGAAAAGTGTAGGTACGGAAAAGTAGAAACCTGCTTTCAATTTACTAGAATTTCACTACAGCTTAGATTGGTTCTAGTTTAAATTAAATTCTCGTAGTGGCGGTCGGTCGCCTGCGCCGGCGCGCCGACGCCAACGGCGAGGAGTGACCTCGATGGTATTTCGCGGCGTTACCGTAAGCGGGCGACTACGGCCGCGCGGTGACGCGGTGCGTGTGCGTAGAGGACGGTGACGGCGGGTGGTCGCTGACGGTGGCGGGCTCGTGTCGCGCCGCGCTGCCCGCACATCTGGAGATGCGCGTGCGCTTCCCCGCACCACCCGGCTCCCCGTCCCGCACGAGGCCCCAGCCCCCTCCGGTGCCTAGCGACTACAGCGACACCAAATCTCAGGTCAGTAGCGACGTCATCTGCATGCTCGCACTTCGAACATAACATCTAAGTGTAGCGATACTCCAGAAAAGCCGCTATGGATTGCAGTTGTTGTTATATTCGGTGTGGGGTATCGCTGCACCGCCGCCTGGCATCGTGCCTTCCTGGCAATGGCACCAGGGAGGGTCAACGAGCAACGGCGACTGCGCTGTTGCAGGAAACCGAGTGGTCGTCGGGATGTCGTCGTCGTGCCGCCCGCCGCTCCCCCCGCGGCTCGCGTCCCTCTCGCGCCGCTCTACTCGCACGCGACTCCATCGTTTACGGTCAGTCAGGTTGCACTTAGGCTAGCGCGCTTTTTTTATTTATTTCGTGTGACTATCAATCGGGCAAATTTTAATTTTATTTTTTTATATTTATTTTTAAGAGAACACCATTTCACCTCTAGGGTGAAGTGAAACAAAACGAATATATACTATTTACGTATAATAAGTTAAAAATGTAGTATAAAAAGAATATAGTGTAAAAAGTAACAAAACTTGCTGAGGACAGTTTTTCAATAGTAACCACCACAGTCCCGGTCCCAGTCCTCGAACTCAAGTGTGCGCGTGCTGTCCACTCTTTAACATTAAGTACCTATTTAGGTGTCGTAACCGATCAATATCTTAATTTCATACTTCACATTGCTGCGTTTACTGTAAAAGTTCGAAAATATGTTTGAAATAATTTTAGATACGCACGTAGCGACGCCGACGAGTTCTCAAATCAATATATTGAGAACTCCGTCCGTTATTGCTATATTACTACATTATTTGCGGCATCGTCCGGCAATTTTTTATCCCACAAAATATAATCTTGGAAAAGAACTTAACCACTGCATTTCACGTCCCTAACTAACCACAGACGACTCGACACCTTGTCTTCTCGTACACAACTTTATATATATTATATATATATTATAACTTTATATATTATACACGGTAAAAACAGATTACTTAGAAAAAGACAAAATTATTTTTATGAAGACAAATTTATTAAATCCAACAAAACGATCCTCTCCCTATGGACGCTAGAGAATAATTACTTGACAACAGTAAAAAAACGTCTCAAAAGTGTATTTTAGTTATAAGACAGAAATATTTAATCCAAGAGCAAATTAATTTATTTCAAGTCACAAAGCCACTCTAGATTCAACAAAATATTTATTTGTTATTAGAAATGTCCGATTTTGATTTGAAAAAAAAAAGAATGAAAAATTGAGAGGTACTTAATTATTTGACTGAAGATTTATGTTTTCCAATATCAAAAAGGGTAAATTTATGTCCCAACAGTTATGTCTCACTAGCGTGAAAGCACACAGTTCAGAGCCAAACCTTAAAGTAGCAGAAATAGGACAGAATCTTCTCAAATACTTGAGGACCATTCAGTGCCGTATAAATGCTACAGCGGCAGAAAGCACTAATAATTCAAAATATATGATTTGACTTTATACTATCGAAGTTAACAAAACGATAGTGCGTTTCAGAGTACAACTAATGCCTTCTAGCAGTGGCGTGATGGAACTAATTGCATGTTAAAGTTGTGCTTGTTACACAAGTGTAGTTTGATTTCATGCTGTAACCAAATTTCTTAAATTATGACTATAAATAACACCCTAACAAACTAGAGATCCTACGTTGTTTCTTTGGATAAATGACTGTGTATAATTTTTATGATTACAAGCACATGTAAAAGTAATCGTTACCGCTTACGCCTTCGGCGACATGTCACGACAACACTGACTATGAAAACGCAACGAAATGTTGCTTTAAGAATATACTCTAGAATTTAGAATATTAATCTGAATAGCAAACTACTTCTTTTTTTGTTTAAGAATATATTTTCTTAAAATACACCCAAGAAATTTTTAATTCATTTAAGATTATTTAAATTTGATGTAAGAGGTAAAAATTTCTTGATGTAAGTAATATCCAATTAATTGCTAAGAAATGAAATAAAATCTTGAAGTGAACGTATTTGTCTCAAAGTTAGAATAAAGTTAAGAGTAAAATTGTATTAGAAAAAGATAAGCAGTATCTTTGTCATGACAATATTTTATTACTTTAAACAAATATTTTTTCAGAATTAGCAAATATTTTGAGAAATTGCTCTTTCTTATTAGTCGAAATCTTTTTTGTCTGTGTAGATTTTAGTTTTCTTAAGCTGAATAAACGTTTCTTTCTTTCTTTCTTTAAAGATGTAACCTACACAAATCACAAACAACCCTACGTTCCTACCTAACAGCCTAGCGCTAACCGTACACTGCTATATACTGTTAGGAACATCTCTGCAAGTGCTGCCAACCGACCGTCATAGCTGCCAAGTGTCAGCGACGAATACTACATAAGGCATTGCAAATCAAGCCAACGGCTTTTCTCTTTGCTTTTTGCTGGTATCGGATCTCTCTACTCAAAGTATATTGAGAGAGAAAAACACCTTGAATTGGAGAACAGCAAAATCAATCATTAAAATAATTGCTCCTTATAATAAAATTTAGGCGCTGTTTATAAAAATGAGTATTCATGCGGGAACAGCCACCCTTACAAGTGAATGATTTTCCTCAAAATGAAATGGGACCACTATGGAGATATCCTCTTACAACAAAAAAATAATCATCAAAGTCAGTTCACAAATGGCGGAGTTATCGCGTAACAAACGATTCTTCTGCTGTAAGATCTTTGCAATATAAAGCTTTGAGTGGCACTGCAACTGTTACGGACAGGCGTGTAGCGTACCATCAGGCGCACGACTTGTTCGTCCCGACACTTGATGTTATAACAGAAAAAGATACTTCAGCATTACAAATTTATACCGTAATAGTCACTGCACTAATAAATAAAATTGAACCGTATTCAGAATATTGAGATTCGCCAAAAAATATTCGTGTTTGTGATAGGTTATTCTAAAATATAGGCATCTATTTGTTTATTTCAGGCGTCGCCACTACACTATTAGCGTTCTGTATAACAAATAAGTAAGGTTCTTTTTTTATTGTATATTTTAATATTATATTACTCCAAGTTTCCTTTGTTTTTGTTAGTTGTATTTGAATTAAGCACCTTTGCACCTCGCGAGGTTCTATTTTGCGTCTAATGGATTTGCATACAGTTGAGATCCATCAGACGACCTCGTGGAGTGGGAGCAACTCACCGCTCGACCCGAAACGGCTTTGTCGTCTAAAGCTTCAGTCGCTTGCAGACTCGCCATTGGGCACCGCTCGCCGCGACAAGAGAAGCACGGAAGCGCTGCCTTCGCTGGGCGCCGCGCCGCCTCCCGCACCCCCCGCACCTCACCGCGGCGCCTCCTCCACCGCTCCGCGCGAGCATCAGGTGAGCGAGCGTCCGCCGTCTCGTAGCTCGAGCGACACTGTAGTACGCGAAGGCTCACCGCCGCAGTTCTATTACGCGTAATCTTAATAATTATCTACCTCGTTGCCGTTTCATGTGAATATTCCACATACCTTCGTTTCGACTCTACATTCACCTTAATTTTTTCGTCTCGAGTACCGACCGCGTAGCCGTCGAATTCGATCGTACTTTCTTGCGGTCGCGTCGCTTTCTTTCAGTTGCACGGCGGGTGTTGCGCGTATTGCCGATCGTCGCCGCCGGCGCCGTCGCCGCGATCGCCACCGCGCGCCGAGCCCTCGTCGCCGCAGCGCCGCCGGCGCGCGCGGTGCCCGAGCTGCGGCGAGCCGCGCGTCTACACGTGAGTCGCCGTCCGGACGAGTTCCGTCCTCTTCGAGACCGAAACGCGTCCGACATGTACGACGACAGTCGGCGATATTTACGGTACCCGGTTTGCAGCGGCGGCGGTGCACTGGCCGTGCACGGCAACGGCATCCTGCCGGTGCGTAAGCCCCGCGCGCCCTCCATGAGCGAGCGCGACCTCGTGCGTCGCGCCTCGTCGCGCCAGCCCCTGCGCGCCGCGCGCCCGCCCCGACTGACCGCCCGCGGCGACGGCGACTCCCGAGGACGGAGCCCACTCGCCGCGAGGCCGCCGCGCCGGGCAGCGATACAAAACTGGTTGTAACGGAACCTGAATTGGCAAACGATATCGCCGAATAATTCGAATTCAGTACTTACGGTCGCACGACCGCCTACGCGCGCTTCGGTGTCCGTTCATTCTAGGCTTGTCGATTCTTACCGACAACGGGACGGTCTCGATCGATTCGAATCGAAGGCAAAGGCGGCAATAAATACAAACTTCCAAAAATAGTTATAAGCGTACACGCGACAATGAAGTGACGAAATTCGAGCAGTGACAGTATGTAAAAAATAACTTAGGAAACAAAAGCAACACCTACCTACGTCATTTTTAATATCAATCAGCGTTTCCTCATATTTAGTCGCTTATCAGCCGAATGACGTTGTCTTTATTAAATCTATTCGTCAGTTTCATCAAAATTTACTTCCGAGTTTGGCCACATTATTGTCAAGGGTGCATAATAATATGACATTCGTCAGAGTGAGTACAAATCTGGTGGCGCTGCGTGCTTGCATTTAAATGCGCCTCTGTAATCACATGTCACGTAAGGCTAGCGAGTATAGAGGGCGTGTGAATGGCACGCGAACAGATCGTATTACGCAATATATGTGTGGAGCTCGGCAGCTTTATGCGACAGGCGCATTCGCCAGATCTGTACGCGCCCTAACTATTTACTGTTACTTATTATTTATTAATCAGATCGCTTCTATAGTATGTCTAACAACAGATTTTTACCAAAAGAAAGTACGCATCAAATGTGATTGAATACTCACCACTCTGCCAGTGATGTGCTTAGTGATACGGTGGGTTCCGCGGGAATTTTATCTATACGCTAGGAGTGGTCAAAACATCTGCATATTTCACAAATACTTTTATACGTAGGGCGAATGAACTTACGGATCACTTTTAAATTGTTGTTGGTCATAATTTTTAACTCATCTTGAACTAATTCGCTTAGGCAAGGTTATTTTTGTGAAATGTCAAAATGTAGAGCATTCTTAAGGTATAAGATAAAATTTACCATTTTGTGGCATGTGGGATATCCCAAATTATCTAATTTTCCTTAGCTTAGTCCTGCGCCAGTGGAAAACGAATAGTCAAAGAAAAACATATAGGTACATATATTTCTTACTATGTTTTATACCTGAATATTTTATTAATTCAGTACCTACTTTGGCGTCGCCTCTCTTGTCTGCCTGCGGATTTGCTACTAGGTGTGTACGGTTAATACCGCACATTAAGTATATCACCGCGTCAACATTTTTATGTTTAGTTATAATTTGTGCATATTTGCTATCAAGACATTGTCATAAGCAAGCGCGTATTTCATTTTGTAACCAAGTTAACGAAATAAATACCATTTTTAAGATCAACAACGATTCTTTATTTATCAACATCATTATCAAGATAGTTTGTGTAGCAAGATCAAGACGTGAACATTGGTCCTTCAAGCAGCGAGTTTGTGATCTTTTGTGTTTTTCGAGTGTTAGCGAATCGGTACAGTCGGCCTCCCACAAGCGTGTCTCACCGGCCGGATTGAGAAGGCGCAAATAGCACTCGTGAGCACATTAACTATCAGGAACCAGCAAGTATCGAGTGTGTTGAAGTTTTGTTGTGAAATACAAGCCCACATGCAGAGTCAAGTATGTGCACATTTGAACATTTTATTAGCAAGAAAGGTACCTAAGTAAACAACACTTATATTGCAAGTTATATTTAGTATGCTTTATTTTTTATACCAAGTTTACTTGTGTATTACATTATCAACAAAACTTACTAGTAGAACAAATCAAGAAGGTTCTAATCAACTTTAAAAAAGATGTTCCTACAAGTCGAACTCCAGATCTTATCAAGAGACGTCTGTGTACCGTAATCGTTTCATGGACGGCCGCCTGTGTTTTAGTGCATTTCCACAAGTCGTACATCCGATCGGGTGCATTCATAACATTACTTAACATTTAGCATAACATCATTTTAACTAGTTAGAGCAATAAAGCTTATAAACTTAAACAGTGTTTCCACTATCAACAATAACAATCATCACTACCGTGAACATTGGCCCTTAGAGCTTGTAAGGTTTTTGATGAGTTTTAAGTGTATTGGCAACCGGTCCGCTGGTCTCTCAGAAGCGGTTCTCACCAGCGGATTGAGAAGGTGCTTACAGCATACTATAGAACTAATCAAAAAGTCTTAACTAACCAGCAGACCATACCTAGATACTCGTAGGGGTGTGCTGAATGACAACATTAACTGCGAGCATGGAACAAGCGGAAATCAAACAACCTGATTTTGAACAAATATGAAGATTTGTATTTTGCACGATTATTTTACAGGTGAACGTTATGAAGAAACGAAGAAGTATTATTTAGAAGCGATGGGCTATATCAATAAGTTTTTGTAACATTTGCCAGTCTTTGATAAATTTACGCAGTTCCTAACATCTGATGATGATTTCGTTTGGGATTTTTACAAGCAAACCAAGCATATAAGCATATAGAAGTCAAATAATATTTGAAGATAAAATCTTCCGCGGCACTTCCAAACTGTCTCCTGCAGCAGAAATGAGAATTCGAAGATAGTCTTCAGACCTTACAAGCCAGATGGAAAGCGATAGATCTATTGTATTGGGAAATAGATAGTGAATTGGATTGAAAACACAACAAGCACTTTTACTATATCTTTTATTCTTTTTCCTTGATCACGACTTCACAACAAATTGTGCTTGGGTCAAATGAGGCGGACCTCACGACGGCGCTCGTACATCCTTACTTTTTAGAGTCAGTTGAATTACTTAATATGAGATAATGAAATTATATTTACAACAATATTACATAAATTTAATTACATATTTTTATTTAATTTAATCAATAAGAAGTATAATTTATACATAGCACAATTGAAAAAAGTAACTGCATAATAATAACAGCTGTTAAATGTTGAAGTCAAGTACAATTTTTTTTACAAATTAAATAGTTAATATCGAGTTCTTAGGTTTTCACGATTGTTACACAAAGGAAATGAAACTATTTTTCCGGATTTAAATCGCGTATATTTGTTTTTTTAAACAAACCAACGTAACCATGGGACCTGTAAAGGGCCCGAAATGTTGGTTTGTTTGAAAAAACAAATATACGCGATTTAAATCCGGAAAAATAGTTTCATTTCCTATAGTTAATATTGTTTAATATTTGTGGTAGAATACAGGTACTTTAAATATGTATTAATTTATAACAATACAAATTAAGTATTTGCTTTCATTCGGCTTATTCTGACGGTAACGCGTCCACGCGAATGTCCGCCAATATTGCCAATAACAACAATAATTATAATAACAAATATTATAACATTTACAACAGTTTGTAAGTTCCTGGGTATAACGAACATACAGACTTGTTTTTATATATAACTGACTTTTGTGTTAACAATTTGTCTATGCAAGTAACAAGTTTTCGTCGCCAGGCTGACTTCAGCGTCCTACGGAGTAACGCCACTTGGGGCTGGTAACGCCAGTCGGGGCTGGTAACGCCAGTCGGGGCTGGTAACGCCAGTCGGGGCTGGTAACGCCACGCGGGGCTGGTAACGCCACGCGGGCCTGGTAACGCCACTCGGGGATGGTAACGTACAATATTTCCAAAGCAATAGTTTATGGCGGAAAATGAATGATCTGAATTAATTAATTAATTAACATTAATATCTGAATTAACAAACATATCAAAAGTTTCCCTTTCTGAATCACTCTCTCTGGGGTCGTTTGAAAATAACAGCCAAGGGTGAACTTTGTCTACAACAACCACGGTTTTATGAGTTTGTTTACCGCTACCTTCATCAGCTACAGCTGCTACAGCTATCATTGCCTAATTTTTTTTTATTCTGTAAGACATTTAGGAAGTAGTTTTTGCTTTGACCTGGCACCGGATTACCTAGCTCCCTTTCCACTCGCACCAAATCACCAATGTTGTAATTGGTCGCTTTTTTCTCCTGTCGTCAAAACGAGCTTTTTGTTTAAATGGCTCTTTCCTCATCTTATCAATAGCTCTCCTCCTTATTTCGTCTCGATTGAGATCACCGTGGGCCTCTGACACTATTCAATTCATAGGTTCACCCGAACTTCCCGTCGACATTGTTCCAAAGAGCAGTTCCGGTGGCGTTTCACCAGTGGCCTTGTTTATAGTATTATTAAGATAAGATAAGATAAGATAAATTTATTTCAATATTACTTAATCTAATACAATTATAATGAAAACAATGTAATTGAAGATAAAATATTAAAATAAACAGTAATAAACAAAACAAAAAAAAAATCTAAATTATATAAAATAATCATGGTAAAATTAAACATTTTAATCTTAGTGCCTAATAGTGCAATTGCGATGCCTAAACTAAGTACATGTGTACCTGTATTTTAGGCATAATAGTGCATTTTTCATAACAAAGCTTAAAAAAATAAAGATTTTATAAATTTAACAAATAAAAGATAAGTAGTTATAATAGTTACAATTTATAAAAGATAAGTAGTTAAACATTACTTATTATATAAATATAAATTATGAAATAACTTCCAACAAGTCCTCGGTATCATTGTAGGTTTTACTCTTAAGCCAAAGTTTGACGGTCTTTTTACATTCAGTTTTATTCATATGA